GATAGTTAGAACAGTACCCAGTACATCATAACATAGGAATGTTTGCTATCATTAAGACTTGTTATCTCCTATTTGTAATAGGTTCAGAGTCTTTGAGTCTTGCATGATAGCCAGTACACATCTTGAAGAAGCACAAGAAAGAGCCAGTGGGGGTATTTTTAAGCAGATGTTTGGTTCTTGTTAAAAGAACTAGGGAATCTTCTCACATCACAAATAATGGAATTATCCTACAAGTAAATCACTATCACACAAAATACATGGTCAACAATAGGAAATACTTTTCTATCTACTTTTGTGAATAGCCTGTATCTTTGCAGCCTGAATTTTCATCTTCAGTACCTGTGCCTGCTTTGGTTCTTGTGCTTTTTAAAAATGCAGTGAGCTTCACATACTAGTCTTTTGTACCAGCAGCATAAGGAGCAACTACCATCAAAGACATAGTGCATGGAATTCTTCTGCCAGAGCAACTTAAAAAACTAACTCTTTAATTGGACAATACTTTAATTCTCTCAAAAATGTTATGGTAGTTGACCATATTTTGAAATTATCTTTGTCTTGTCTGCTACTTGAATGGCATGGAAAATTTCCCTCCACTTTTTTTACCCTCTCCCGAGAGTCATTTTCTTCGCTCTTTTCTCTGCCCTGCCTGGCCTCTGACCTTGCCCAGTTCTGCCGTTTCCATGGGCTCCTGAATCTAATTAATGCCTTAGTGTCTATAGAACTGAATTATATAGGCAGGAGGGTGTTAGAAACTTCGAGGAAGGTGCATTTGTTGGGAATACCTGGTTTTGTTAAAACAAATAAAAAGAAATGCACATTGTGAATGGTAGAATGTCAGTAAGGTGTAAAACGCTAGTAACACACTTCACTCGTTAAATATCTGTTGCCTGATGAGCACATGCAACCTTAGAATCATCTCTTTTGACATCTGGGCAATAATCAGCCATTATGGAAGCTGGCTGAGGGGCAAATAGTCCAAATAAGCCACTGCTGCAAATGGGCCTCAGCCATGTGATGTGGGTACTGGTCCCCCATCCCTTTCCCTCCCTTTTCAGGCCGGATCACAACCATTTGTGGGAAGTGTGTGCAAATGGTCTCTGAAATGACCCTGGCTTGGGCCAAGGAACATTCTCAAACTCTCCAGGATGTGGGCAGACAAGGAGGAGGGGCCCAGAGTGCTGAAGTTCTCTGCCAGAGGATACTGTCAGAGAGCCCAAGGCAGAGATGGTCCCTATGCCCCATGTTTCCATGGAAACATAGGAGGAGTGATGACAGCCAGCACAGCCACACCATCTGCTCGGGACCGGGTGAATGATGAAAAAAATAGACACAGAAAAGCGCCTCGATCTCAGTGGTGAGGCAAAGACCTAAAGACACGAGAACTCCTAGGTGGATTAAAACCCAAGCCATCCTGGGCTTGACGTATTAGCAGGTAATTTGCAAGCAGAAAACCTTGAGAGTTTATTCTGCGATCCATAGATATAGTTACAAACACCCAAGAAGCCCCTGGAAGGAGGAACAGACAGCCTGTGGGTCTGCAGCCTGGCTGGAACAGGAGAGAAGGTGCAGTGACAAACCCTGCAGAGGAAGGTAGAACAGAGGCTCCCGTCACCTTCCATCCAGACCACCTGCACAGCTGGCTTTCAGCCAAGCATCTTTTTCTAGGGGAATGGGGAGATTATAAAAGGAAAGTTCCCACGTGGTCACAAAGGTGGCCTCTGAGTTGCAGCCATGTCTTCAGAATAAGGAATTAATAAGGCCATGGAAGTTCTTTCTTCTATCCATTCATAGCCAAAGGGAGATCTTAGTTGGATGCCACGGATTGGCTTCTGGGTCTACTTAGGAGGCTTCCCATTCCAGATGGGGGGATATGAGTGGAGCCCTTGCTAAGTGCACTTGTAAGTGTGCCCCAATCCCAGCCGGATTCATTCCTTAGTTCCTTTTTTCATAGATTTTGCCTAAACAAATAGACCTGGCCAGGAAGCCAGCAGCTCCTCTCACTGAAATGCCTCCCCCACAGCTCTCAGGAACTGTGGTTTCATTCTGCATTGGTAGAACTGCTGGATCTATCTCAGGAGAAAATCCCTCAAGTCTCAAGGTCTTAGGTGCACAGATGCTACATCAACTTTATAGGAAACACCAGCATTTATTTTTATTTTTAACTAAAGCTCAAGCCCTTTTTTGCTTTGTATTAAGAATTTAAAATTTGACAACTAAATTAAATGATTGTATACTCTGGTTTCTCTTCAGATCGCATAAATCTTTCGCCTTTTACTAAATTAAATGATTGTTTTGGTACAGGTACATAGGGGATAGAGAATAAGGAGACCATCTTAATAAACCAGATTAATGACAATAAATGATAGCAGATCTCCTTATTAAGGCTCTAATTAACTATTTTTACATTTTACTTGTAAATACTACTCGTTAAGACTTACTTCCATGACACCTTAGTAAAAATAGTATCTGCAACTATTTGGGTTTCTTCAAATGCCCTTATTCTCCAACTGGACATTCTACACACACACAAAAATACAATGGAAATAAAAGTAGTAATGCAACTTCCCCCAGGCTAGATGCCCCAAACAGAAAATATGAGCTATTTCTGATAAGAAAAAATGTAAATACCCATGGTGAAATTGCTTTAGATTCAACTACACTCATGTATTAACATAAAGCGCAGTGTTTAAATTCAAATATAAATCTCCCTTTGGAGTAAACTGCTTCGATAGCTCCATATACCCTAGTGCTTTCTTTTTCCCTTTCTGGGACCATGTATTTATTATCTTCAGCCTCCATGGTGAAGGCAAATCTGTATCTTGAGCTTCGAGCTCTGGATGGGACTCCCAGTAAACATGGTTCTGTTTGTCCTTCAGCAGCCCTCCTTTGTATAAACAGATGTGGTGGGAAGGGAAGGAGAGCCAGATCTCTGCAAGGGGTGGGAGGTCTGCTTTCTGGCAGCTTCCCGGCTGCGGCCCCCAGCACAGGGACAGGATGTATTCCTTGTCCAGGCTGTGGAACTTGCAGTTCTTCCAGAGAGGGGCCGTTCCCTCCTCTTCTCCTCCCCCCCCATCCTTTGTTCCTGGGAATGCTGTCTGGATGGCTGAGGTATCTCACTTTTGCCAGAGCAAATATTTCCAGCAAAGGCGTATGCTAAGGAGTTATTAGGAAGACAGACTTTTTTCTTCCCTTTAAATACACTGTGGACTGGGATTTGGGAAGACAGCCCTTCTCACCTGTACTTTCTCCTGTATTCAGGGTCTCTTTGTTCTCCTGTGGCCTTGGTACTACCTTCAACTAATGAGTGAGGCTTTTAGGGACCGGTGTTGTCAGCCTGTGAAATAACAGTTTTGTTTTCTCAAACTATGTGGACACTCACTCTGCCTGAATTTGTTTTGCATTTTGCACATTAATTATGGATGCTAATAAAGGAAGGACTACTTCAGAGCTGGAGGAAAAAGGGGGATGAACATTTTGTCATACAATTCCAAATGGGAAGTAATTCTCATTGGTCTTTTTTTCCCCTGCTTGCTCGCCAGACTTCGTTTGTTAATTCTCATTCACAGGTCGCAGAGGTGAGAGGGTGACTCTCAGGCTTGACCCTAGAGGGATCCTGTGCTGTCTACCCAAGGGTCTAGAGTTCCAGGGACTCCAGTCAGTGGGTCTTCTAGTTGAGAAAGAACAAAGGGGAGAGTGCCAGAAAGGCCTCTCCATGGCAGGGAGTGGGAGTATGGGGCCAGAGGTGGGACCTAACTACATTGCTTTGTATTGTCTTCTCCGGAAATCTCTGGAATCCTGAGTGGGGATCCCAGAGCTGTGTCCAAGAGGACGAGGAGGGTTGGGAGACTGAGTAGGATTCCTGGTTTTGGAGAAAAACATCTAGACGTGGGCTTCTCAGCATGTCTATAAAAGTCAGGAAGGGGAAAATGTTCTTTAAAATAAAGGAAGCAATAATCGGGACTTGATTCTGGGGAGAGGCACAATGGCACTCTATCACCCTTACAGCTGACAGACGACACTCCAGATTGGAGATGGGGCAGGAAGTTTGCAGTCTACACTCAGAGGCCTGCCCCCTTTCCTGCAAGAAATGAAAAGGGGGTAACTTGGCTTCCAGGGACTAGCCAGCTGGTGCATGGTGGGACCCCCACTGCAGGCCAAACTGCAGGTCCAGCCAAGAGAGCTATCCTCACGCTTCTCATTAATTTCCCTTAACTTACTGACTCCAGATATTTTAAACGGTTTGTTTACGGCGCTGCTGGAGGCGGCACAGTTAACTCTCACGGGCCTGGGGCGGTCCCGAATTTCCCGGCACAGACTCCAGGTCTGCAGCCTCCCCGCTTCGAGAGAGCCCGGCAGGGTCAAAGTGGATCCTGGGCCCAAAACAAGAGCTTGCAGACTCGGAGGAGCTGGCGGGCCGGGGTGGGTGGCAGTAGGTGCGCCAGGCAGCCCGCTCAGCATCCCCCGCCCGGCGCCGCAGCTTGACCCTCCGACACACTGGCAGGGCCGCCGTAGGCGTCCCGGAACTGCCGAGGGTCCGGCGGGCGCCAGGGGTGCAGGGAGCCGAGCGGCACGGCCTGCGGGTGCCGCGGGACCCCAAGGGGCCGCGCGGGGAGCGCAAGGGCGCGCGGGCGGGCGCGGCGCGGGGCTCCGGGTGCGCGCGCCTGGGCCTCGCCCGCGCACACGCGCCTCCCTGAGGAGAAAGAGGCGGCGGGCGGCGCGGAGCGCGGCGGAGGGGGCAGCGGGCCGGGCCGCGGCGGGGCGGGGAGGAGGAGGGGCAGGCGCGGCGGCGCGGCGGCGCGGCGAGCTAGCGGCTCTCCCGAGTGTGCCTGCGCGGGAGCCGGCGAGCGGGTGAGTGTGGCCGCTGCTGCCCAGCCGGCGCGCGTCGGGGGCGGGGGCGGGGGGAGCCCGACCGAGGTAGGGGGGTGATGAGGGGGACGGGCGGCGACGGCGGCGGCCCCGGCGCGGCTGGGATGCACCTTGAGCGCCGTTTTTCGTTGCAGCGCGCGGGCGGCCCGAGCCTCGGCAGCGGCGGCAGCACTGACACCGACACCTCCCACCATGGACAGCTTTGACTTAGCTCTGCTCCAGGAATGGGACCTCGAGTCGCTGTGGTGAGTCCCCGCGCGGGCCGCCAGGGCGGGCGGGAGCGACGAGGATTCGGCCGGAGCCTCACCTGGGCCGGGGGCTGCGCTGTGGGGGTGGGGTGGGTCCGGGCGCCCGCCGCGCCCGCTTCTTCCTGCCTTACCGGGTGGATGCGCGGCCGCCTGCTGGTTTTCTTGCCCCCTTTCCAGTCTCCTCTCCCCAGTGCTGCCCGCCCCAGCCCAGGGCTGATGATCTGGGGAGCCAGGGGCAGAGCGCAGCCATGGAAAGAAAAAGAGAACCGATTTCTAGAACGTGTCAATAGTGTCCGGACCCACCCTTCTTCGATACCCTAACCTCTCTCCTTCCTTCCCTCCGCTGAACCCCTTCCCTCTTCTCCGAGAGCATCGGGTTCACACCAGCGACCCCCTGGAGTTGGGGCTGCAGCAAAGTGCCCTTAGAGGATGCTTCAGCCACTGCCTGTCCGCGCAGGGTCTTGGCCGCTGCGTGCTTTCTGCCCTTCCCACCCACTCCCACCCGAGATGGTAGTGAGCCCCAGCGCATGGGGCGAGTGTTTCACCGTGTGGGAATTCAAGAGGCCTTGGCCCAGGGACACTCATTTCCTCGAGGTTCACAATTCCTTTGGGCCCTTTCTGCACACCTCTGCACAGTCCTCCTCCTCCTGTTACCCACTCAACCCACCCGCGCCGCGCGCAGCCCTTTCTGCCCGGTTCGCGACTCAACGCCCAGGGTGCCGGTGGCCTGGAAGCCCTCCGGCTTCAGTGCCCGGGTTCTCACATTGAGGAGCTGCTTGAAGCAGTTTAATTCCGGTTGCGGGTGTTCTAAAAATCTCATTGGCTGCTTCTACATCCTTCTAACTGCCCCCCCCCCCCAACCCCCGCCATCGCCTAATGTTTCCAACTAGTCCCGTTCAGGTGGTAACATTACCGCCTGCACATTATTCCTGGAGGAACTTGTGTTCTGTTTAATATTTACGGGAATGAACATCTGCTGAAACAAGCATATTAACTGCACTGTGATCTGCCTCTGGTAATCGCTTATTGTAGAGCTGAGCTTTTTTTTGGGGGGGGGCGGTTAATTCCGTAAGGAGTTCACATGTCTTCAACTCCAAGTGGTGTGCACATGAATATTCAAAGTGCAGTTTTAAAGCTAAACTGCTCTATGATTTATAAATCATAGATTGTCGAGATGATATGTGGATGTATGTATATTTTCAGTGATTTACGTTTGTAGTGACTTTTTATCTTTCTAAAGCCAGGTGTCACAAATTTGACACAAAGCTAGCGCATTATGGAGCAGTTTCTTATAAAACACATGAGGATGGGCCCTAATGTAATAAAACTTTTATATGTTACACTGTGGAAAATTGGGAACTTCAAAGAGCCAGTATAGAAAGAATATGAAACATGTTATTACTCTATAAAAGTTGCTAATTACTGTGTTGTTGCTCCCAGGGATATTTCAGCCTTTCATTTACAGATACCTATTATTTTACAGATTTACATTTAGGAATGTTGGTTTCTAGCACAAATTCAATAGGTTTCTAGGTAGAAACTGTGCCTCAAAAATGACATTTGCTTTTAAAGGCAGGTTTTCAGTCAAAGGGAAGAACTTACTGTTTTGTCATATTTTCATGCTGCTTGTCAGCCTGCTGTCTCAAACGGAAGCCCCCTAATGATTTCTGGGTAATATTTTGAAAGTATCAGCCGTAACCTGTGGGCTTTTCCAGCACAGGGCCTTGAGCCTGTTTCCTTTCGCATCCTTAGTTCCCAGGTGAGTTACCTGGAGCACAGTTACACAATAAATGTCTGTTGAGTTGACCTGAAATTTACATTAACCACAATATACTTACTATTATAAAGTGAAAAAAACCCATTTTTTAAAAGTTGCTATACATGAAATCAGATTTTAGGTAATGTATCAACTTATTTTTGGGTTATGAAAGCATGTTGGCTGTCTTGCTTACAGTGTAGGACAGTTTGGCTTGACTTGAGGGAGTGTTCCTAGTTTACAGATGTAGAATTACATTTTACAAAAGTTTACATATTTCTGATAAAGATAAACCAAACTGCTTGAGTTTGGATTTTAATATAGACGTTTTCTCAGTCATAGATGAATTTTTGGATGGCATGTTCTAACTCAATTTTGTGGTTTACTTTTATGCTTATAAGTTTTTAAGTTTATGGTTTGCTTTTAAGCTTATAGGTGATCCAAAGTAACTAACATTTGTGTACTTTTTGTGGGTCAGGTGTTTTCATATCTATTGTTTTTTTTTTAATTTGAATCTCATAACAATCTTAGAGGTAGCAAGTGGTAATAGTCCCATTTTATAAATAAGGAAGTAGTGGCTTTGAACTGTAAAGTGGCTTTACTGAGACTATAAAGCAAATGGACAGTTAGTGAACACTTACCATTTACCACATACTCCTCTGAATCTATTACGTGTTAACTCTTCTAAATACATCATATGTTTGCCTGGCCAGTGTGCCTCAACTGGTTGAAGTGTTGTCCCATAAGTGAAAGATTGCCGGTTCAATTCCTGGTCAGGGCACATACCTAGGTTGCAAGTTCGATCCCCCATCCCTGGTTGGGGGCTCATGCAGGAGGTAACCAATTGATACTTCTCTCTTCCATCAATGTTTTTCTGTCTCCCTTCCTCCCATTCTTCCTCTCTCTCTAAAAGCAATGAAAATCTGTCCTTGGGTGAAGATAAAAAAATACATTTCATGTTGTAAATTTATTTAATCCTCTCAATAACCTTGGAAGCAACTACTATAATTATTCCCATTTTACAGATTGGGAGATTGAGAGTGGGAAAGCTCCGATGATTTGCCCAGGGTCATGTGTCTAGAACAGGAGGACCTAAATTCAACTAGGCATTAATTGCAAAGCTCAGTTTTCTGATTTCAAACCCAGTGCATTCTCTACAGTCCTGCAAATGTCTCTCAGTTTATGATGGCGGCTTTGAAATTAATCACAAAACAAAATTTTGATGGGCTGGAAATTAAGGTTTTGTTAAAATATGAAAGAAAAAGTCAGAGCCCTGAATGATATTGATCTAAACCTAAAAATGTGAAAACAAAATACCGCAGTGTAGGAAATTATGCCTACCTTATATGAATTAACATATATATTTAAAATATATTTAAATTTAATATATATTTATATAAATACATATATATTTAAAGTAAACATGTAATATTAAAATAAAGACCACCCAAAACTTCTTTCTTTAATTTATCTTTGAAAAACACTTTTTTCTTTGTAGAGGGTGGGGGGAGGTATAGGTTAATGGAAAAGAGAATAGTATTTTAATCCCTAACAATATTTTTCTAATTGGTGGGCATTGTTTTCCAATAAAACATATTGCACTTTGTTAGTTATGACTGTAGGTTTGAACCTGAGCTAGCTTAATCTAGTGGTCACAGAAAGTGTCCCCAGATGACTGTATAGATAATACGAAGAGAAAAGGTTGGCACTGTTGAATATAATCAATATAGACAGTTAGTTGATAATTCAAGAACCATCTCTTCTGCCTCCTTACACACCCTCCCTCCCCAACTCAGAAACACCTATACTTATTTTTCAAGGGAGGTTTTTTTTTACCTCCAGATAGCTGCTTCAGCTTTTCTTTCTAGACAAACCTTAGAGTTGAGAAGAAATTTCCATTTCCAATTCCATTTCCTATTTCTGATTGGAAGCAAGAGTGGACAGTTTGGACCACGGGAAGACGCTTGTTCTGCGCCTGCTCCGCAGCTCTTCACCGGTAGAGTTGAATATCTGAAGATTTTGGGATTCAGTCAGCTTGCAGGGGCCGATATCCAGAGGAACAGGGCCTCTTCCCAGGCTCCCACTCCATTCCTGCTGCTCTTCCTGCTTTCCACCAGCTTCTGATCAGCTGCTGGGCATATAAGCCATTCCTTAGGGCCTTTAAAAGAATGACCATTCCTTTTAAAAGGCTAACCATTGGTTTTACTCACTTAACAAATATGTATTGATCATCTCTTAAGTACAAGACTTTGTGCTGGTTGCTGTAGGAATACAAAGGTGAATAAACTGCGGGTTGGTATGTTATTTTCTAGTAGGGGAATGAGAAGGGTGAAAAAGGAAGTTTTCAACATTTTTGATCCAGAAGAGAGAAAAAGCGCACTTAGGACTGGGGCGCATGGTGGAGGAGGGAAAGAGGAAAAATTGAGTTGCATGTGTGTTTTTTTAAAGGCTTCGAAGGAAAAGATGGCCTTTGAACTAAGCCTCGGAAGATGAATGGAATTTTTACATGTGGTGGGGGTGGGGTATTGGCAGGACATAGAGGCATCTTGGGCAAAGAAAGAACTTGAACAAAGGCTTTCATGGTGTTTCTGAAAATCCTTTCATGAATTGTGGAAATACCTATATCAAGTGTTTTAAAGATGCAGAACTTAGCAATCATGACTTGTTTTTAGTGAATGAGAAAAGTTTTCCAAACTGAACTTAGTCAAAATGGGATTTAATCTTCCTTAAATATAAACACATTTTATTTATTGAGGAGAAAGTCTATCTCAATACAATAGTAAATATTTAGATTCCTCTTTGCTACCCCTTCCCCCAACAGCTTTACATAGGCCAGAATCCATTTACTTTTGTCCAAATAGGCATTATACTTTATATTCTTTCAAATTTGAACCTTTGAAGTTGTAATTCATGGATATTTCATACTCATTAATTTCTTTAGTAAACACTCTTAGAGTATTAGGAATAGCGTGAGTCCTGTAGAGAAATGGCTTTCAAATGTTTGAAACCGTGACTCACAGCAACAAGCACGTTTAGTGTGGCAGCACACTATGTTCGAGAACACACATGCACATAGCTGAGACAGAAATGTAATGAAGTTACACTTATTTGTACTATGTATGATGCACTTTGACAATTTCTTTTTTTTCCTTTTAAAAAAATTTTTTTCCTGTTCATGGGTTTCAAAAAACAAAACAAAACAAGATAAAATAAAACTCCCCACTCTAGGGATGCAAAGGAG